GGGGATGTATTAAAATTATAATAGATTTTGGGGAGAAACGAGGGGGAGGGGGGGGGAAGCTACCAAATACAGATGATTGAGTAGTTGTATACTGGTGCTAGCTGTAAATACTATATTATTATAATGTATTCAATTCTAATGGGGGACTACACGCTGTTTACAAATTTTCACCTCCATCTCATTTCTTCAACTTCTTTTAATATGTATCTATTATTCTTTAAAGATATATATATTTCACTCCTGTATGCCGAGTCCATTAGCGCCTGATCCAATTATGGTTTAGTCATGTGTTTGTAGTCAATTCTGAACTAATAGCAATAGTATGGCGGTAACATCTATCTTTCTATCTATCTCATTTTCCAATTAGAGTTATTAGAGTTATGAATCCTTCAATCGGCGCTATCAGTAAATGGAAATATTTACTACTGAAACTATAGTGATGATGATAATTAATCAATTGCTTATTGTTTATTTACAATATTTTTATTGTTAACTTTTTTACATGTATATACATTTAAAGATATATTTGAATAATTATGTCTTTCTTAAATGTTTTGTTTTCGGGATTCTTTTAATTATACATTGCAATATTATAAAGAAAGAAATTAATTCAATTTTGAAATTCAACTTTTCATTGTTTTGTAATTTTTCAATACTATTTTTTAATTTCTATATTCTATATATATATTTTTATCAATATGTCAATAATATATTTTTCCTATTTATAACTATGCATAAATATAAAAAATATAGATGAATATCATATATATATATAATGGATAAATACATTTGGTACATCAGTCATACATTTATCTGTCAATGCGTATCATGCTATCCGTATCTATCTATCTATCTATACTTTTATGCATAAATTTACTTTTATATCTTCTATGTATCTATCTGTCTGGGTGTCTTTCTGTCTATCTATCTATCTATCTATCTATCTATCTATCTATCTGTCTGAACGTTTACAGGAGCTGTAATTTAAGTGTATATAGAGCAGACACCCATATTATATTGTTTCTATCTAACTATCTATCTATCTTCATATTTATCTATCTATCTATCTATCTATCTATCTATCTATATAATTTCTCTGGTTACCGAGGTATATCTACAGTATCTATTATTAAAACCGTTAAAACCTTAACAACAACAAGTTTAAACCCTTCATTCATTCATTTATTCTTTTTCAATCTTTCCATCCTTCCTAAACCCTCTCTATTCATCCTCATTCATACGTTTTAATCTTTAAATTGTTGTTTTCGAATTTATACGATACCGTTATTGCATTGTCACATATCATATACTGTTCATCTCTTTGTCTAATTATTTTGAAGAGGGGTTTAGGTTTAGGTTTAGGTTTTAGGTTTAGGTTTGGGTTTAGGTTTTACGTTTAGGTTTTAGGTTTAGGTTTAGGTTTAGATTTAAGTATAGGTTTAGGTTTAGATTTTAGGTTTAGATTTAAGTTTAAGTTTTAAGTTTTAAGTTTTAGGTTTATGTTTTGGTTTAGGTTTTAGGTTCAGATTTTAGTTTTAGGTTTAGTTTTAGGCTTAGGTTTAGGTTTAGGTTTAGGTTTAGGTTTAGGTTTAGGTTTAGGTTTAGGTTTAGGTTTAGGTTTAGGTTTAGGTTTATGATTTTGGTAAGGCGTTAAAAAAACTACATAAAACCCATTTTTCATACCATTTTATTTTGGTTTTAAAACTGTTTTTATAAAAATATTGTTTTCTGTAGATTATCCATTCTCTCATCACGGATTTTTGCGCCAATTCCAAATCTTGTCATTCTAGATTTATCAAGGTAATTTTTTAAGATTTTTTTTTTATAATTTCTTACAGAACTAATTATTTGCCACAAGTTGTAAATTTCATAATTCTTTTATCTTTTAACCTGATAAACCTTTTTTATGTTAAACTATGAATTCTGCTACGTCAAATAGTCAAGATTTGATTTATAATTAAGGTTTACACAATTAGGTTACATGGATATAAAGATTGGAAAACTAGAGAATGTGGCAGTGTTCAGTTTCTGTTGACAAAGAAATTGAGTCTCTGCCACAAACTTAAATTTTCTAATCTCAATAATTTTTCAACTTGATGGTGTAAACCTTTGATATTTCAAACTGAGATTATTTGATCTGACAGAATTTATAGGTCTAGAACATTGGGTTGCAAAGATATAGTGATTTGAAAATCAGAGTTTGTGGCAATGGTATGAAATTTTCAACTATTTTAATGATTTATTTAGGAATGAGTTTTCCACGCCGTGTCTGACATGTCCAGCTCCCCCCTGCCAAACCTGCCTCTCAGACAGGTAAACGCGAGCATAGCGAGTCATGTTAAATCGAGAGCAAAGCCAGTCAGGGGAAATAAAAAAAGAACTGAGAATTCGTCTCAAATTTTAATATTCTAATCTATTAATCTTTGCAACCTTATAATTAAAATTTTTGCAATTTGATCTAGAATTTGATCTAGAATTTGCTTATACAGAATTTTAGAGTTTAGATACAAAAAGTTGTCAAGAAAGATTAAGTTTAACAAATCAGAGTTTGAGGCGAGAACGTATTTTTTCTAATTCAAGAGGTTTGGGAATTCGAATATTGTTGCTCTTTTGTTAAATCACAAAATCAATTGAAAGCCCCCCCCCCCCCCTATTAACATGAGAGGGGGGGTGGCATGAATCAGGAAATTTGTAGATTTTCAAGTTGTTAAATTCAAACTCAGAAATGAATGATTATTCAAAATTCAATTCATTTCGAAACTAATGTTTTAACCAATTAATGTTTTCATTCTGTTAAAAAATAAAAATAGTTATTTTGTAAGTAAAAAATGTTCTTAGTTTTTTTCTAAATGATTTAACACTTAAAGGGACTGTTAATGTTATTTCAAGTGACCCTTCATTTTAGAAATGTTTATGTTTGATTAACTAAGGTTCCCTGTAAACCTTAAGATATCATTAAGGTAGAGAAGCGACGATATTGTTGCTCAATCCATCTTTAATTCAAAATTCTTCTCTTTAAAATATCTGAACAAGTTATCGGTCAATTTTTTTTCTTTGAGCTGGCCATGAAAAATTGGGCTATGAACATGCATTTCAACCGTATACCTCTTTTCTATCGTCTTTTTTGGCGCCCGCCCCCCCCCCCGAGGCTATACACAGATTCAGACCCCTCAGCCTTTAAAGGGTTAAAATATCTGAACATGTAGCTTCATATTTCAATTGATTTAGAATGATAGTAATTCTGATCTAAAGTTATTATGCAGTTAACTTTTTATTACATTTATTTTGCACTGTGCAAACAAATCTGCACGCTTTTACGCAAATATCTATGTTTGCCAATTACTTTTTTAAAAATAAAAAAATATTTCTGTGAGTTAATAAGATAAAGGAAAATGCGGTGCGACCCTTTAAAGTTTTCAAGTTCTTCAAGATGGATGCATTATTTATATAGCTGTTTGGATTGCATGTGTTTGTTATCATATTGTAAAATATATCTACTTAAATAATTTGCAAACTCATCTTTTAAATCTAATATTTTTTAGGACATTTGCTGGTCTGGAGAAACTGGTTTTGCTAAACCTGGCTGAGAATAGAATTCAGTATTTGAACACCAACCTATTTCAGGTAAACAATAACAATAACAATAACAATAACAATAACAATAACAATAACAAATAACAATAACAATAACAATAACAATAAACATAACAATAACAATAACAATAAAAATAACAATAACAATAACAATAACAATAACAATAACAATTACAATTACAATTACAATAACAATTACAATTACAATTTAAATTACAATTACAATAACAAGTACAGTTACAATAACAATTACAATTACAATTACAATTACAATTACAATTACAATAATTGCAACAATAACAATAAAAAAACAGAAATCAAAAATAAAAGCAGTACTTAAATTATTCAGTAACAAATATTAAAACAATAACAATAATTTATCAACATTTTAAAAATGAAAATGTCAACTTTAAAAGCAATTACTTTTTAAATAGATAGTAAAAAGGGGGTTAGAGTAGGTAGCTGGTTAAGGGGGGGGGGATACATTTCTATCCCTATATTTGTTAACAGAATTAAATTGAAACTTTGAATTTAAACTAATTATCTATTTCCAATCTAATTAAAACCTTGTCTGCTATCACTCCATGGAGTAGGTTGGGTTCAATATAAAGAATAAAAGAAATTCTAGGATTTTATCACTGGTTCAACATTTGTTCTATCCTCACTAAACCTTCAAATTATCTTTTCAACCCAAGAAAAGACAGTTCTTTCAGACCATTTACTCCATGAATGTGAGAAGGAGGGGGGGGAGTAGGGGCAGGGCATATGTTGAAGATATTTAGAATCTCTGTGAGAGGTTTCATGTCATTGAAATTTCATTCTGTTGATGTTTGACGACATTTTTAATAAGTTAAGTTAATTAAGTTTTTATTACAGGAGCTGGGTAGTTTACAGATCCTGGATTTGTCCCGGAATCTGGTGGAAACTATTCCTGAGGATTCATTTCGGGGCTTAGTCAACCTACACACTCTCAAACTTTCCCGGAACAGAATAGATTCCGTGGATTTTAACAGTTTTCGCGGATTTTCTGCACTCAACACACTCAGTCTGGAGAACAACTCAGTGGTAGAGATTCATCCCCAGGCATTCTCAAACCTAACCCTGCTTCAGGATCTAAACCTATACTCCAATCAACTTAAAACTATTCCATCCGCCCTGAGTAGCTTGATAAGTTTGAAAACAGTTGATCTAGGGAAGAACGGGATAGTAGAAGTTGACACGTCACCCCTAGTTCATCTTTCTTCATTGATTGGACTGAAGCTAGATGAGAATGATATCAGTTTGATATCTGAGGGTTCATTTGCAAACCTGACCAACTTACAGATCCTGAATCTGGCTGGGAACAGGATTAGCGGGGTAGAGAGAGGATCCTTCAACCAGAATAGAAAACTTCAAGCTGTGAGATTAGACTCTAATCTAATTCCTGATATAGTTGGATTATTCGGTGACCTTCCAAACCTTCGTTGGTTAAACATATCAGAGAACAGGATACAGAAGTTTGATTATTTTCTCCTTCCCCCCTCCCTAACCTGGCTGGATATTCATAAGAATGAGATAGAGGATATTGGAAACTATTTCGACAAAGAATCTGAGCTTAATATTCTAACTTTGGATATTTCATTTAATAAATTGAAAACCATCAGTGCTAAATCTATTCCAGATAGGGTTCAGCTTCTTTCACTTAACGATAACTTAATTACGCGAGTGGATCCTCATACGTTTAAAAACAAAACTCGTTTGGTTCGAGTGGATCTCTACGCAAATCAAATTGTCAAACTGGAGACAAGCAGTGTCGGTCTGTCTGAACCTAGACTTGGAGAAACCGCAACCCGTCCGGAGTTTTACCTTGGAGGAAATCCATTTCTCTGTGATTGCAACCTGGAATGGTTAAAAACAATCAATGGTGTGCGAAGGGGAGCCAGATATCCGTTTGTGAAAGATTTAGAATCTATTTACTGCAAACTGATGTATTCTCAGGAGAATGCATACATTCCTCTGGTTGAAGCAAAGCCGTCAGATTTCCTATGTCCCTACACGGCACATTGTTTCCCTCTGTGCCACTGCTGTGACTTTGATGCCTGTGATTGTGAAATGACATGTCCTGAGAACTGTACTTGTTATCATGATCAGCCCTGGAGTACTAATATTGTAGACTGTGCCTCAAGTGAGTTCATTGAGCCACCAACAGCTATACCTATGGATGCAACTGAAGTTTATCTGCACGGTAACAACTTCCAACTTCTTTCAAGCCATTCTTTTATAGGCAGGAAGAAACTTCGAGTTTTATTTCTGAATAATTCCAATATTGAAGCAGTTCTCAACTATACATTCTATGGACTTAGAAGATTAGAGGCCCTCCATTTGGACCACAACAATATTCAGCGGTTGGAAGGATATGAGTTTCAAACTCTAAGAGGTCTAAAGTCCCTCTACTTGGATCATAACAGGATTAGTTGGATCGAAGAGAGTACATTCACCCACCTTGAGTCTCTAGAGACCCTAACCCTAGATAACAACCAGCTGTACAACTTTCCGGGACATTTCTCTTTAGACAAGAACACGTTTTTGATTGAACTCAGCTTAGCATCTAACCCCTGGAGTTGCGATTGCAACCTCGTGACTCAATTTAACATTTGGCTCGAGGAGAACAAGGCGAGGACGACAGATTTGAGTCAAATTGCCTGTTTCCCAAACAACTCAAATACGCCGGGACGATATATCATGCAGAGCTTAGAGTGTTCATTCACTGACAGTATTACACTCCTGCAGCCAGGAGTACTCACAGATCATCTTCCACTCATCATTGTAGGATTTAGTATTCTTACAGTACTCTGCGTAGGGTTTGGAGTTGTTATTTATTACAGGACGGAACTCCGGGTATGGGTTTTTACACAGTGGGGTCTCCGACTCTGCTACTCACGTCCCTCGGGCGATGAGGACACTGAGAAGATGTACGACGCCTACATAACCTACAGTATAAAGGACGAAAACTTTGTAAGTCAAGTCTTGAGCCCGGAGTTAGAACATGGTGATCCATCCCATCGGTTGTGTTTACACTACAGAGACTTTCCGCACAATTCCTATGTTGCGGATTCTATAATTGAAGCTGTTAGTTCTAGTCGGAGAACCGTCCTTGTTCTATCCAAACATTTCCTGGTTCATGAGTGGTGTAGATATGATATTAAATCTGCACTTCATGATGTATTAAAGAGTCGAGGCAAGTGTATCATTATCTTTCTTGGAGAGATTCCTAGTCGAAGTTTGGACCCGGATATGCGTCTGATCCTGAAATCCAACCCGACCATTCACTGGTCGGATAGGATGTTCTGGGAGAAGTTAAGGTTCTATCTTCCTCCGGGTAGTGCCCGGGCACTACAGCACTACTCCCTACCTATATATGAGGTACCACACCTTCCCGCCCATCTTAACCTATCTCATCACACAGGGCACAACAAGATCTATGAACAAAGAACCTTGGAGTCCCAACTCACACCTAAACTATACTAGTGAAGAGTGTAAATATATAAAGTGATCTGAAACATTGATTAGATTCTAACCAAGATTGTGTTTCTCCGTTGATCTAGGATTAGGATGAGTTCCCTCACTCCGGGTTAAACTAAGAATAGATCCTGGAGTAAATTCTGCATGAGTTGAGATTAATCTCTCTGCTCTGAACCCTGGTTACTCCTACTAGATGCAGAGAAACGAGACCTGGTTTACAAAACAGATCTTAGCTCGGGGTACTACTGCAGAACACTGTGCCATTACATCAAGATAATTAAAAGTGATTCAATTCAATTCAATTCAATTCAATTCAATTTCAATTTATTTTTTTCCCTTTTTTTGTTTTGCATTGAGGTCTTGTGCGTAAAGTTCAAAAACTGAAATCTTTTTATGTAACCTGAGCTGAAAACTTTAGTATGGTTGATTATCGAGATTAATGCTTGATCCTCTCTTTTCCATAATATCGAGACTAACCTAATCTTGTACTTGTATCCTGAAAAGTGTATAAAATTCAACCAATCAGAGTCGCGTATATGAAGCCGATAAATTTGAAATGTTAAGATTATATACAGAAACGGGAGGGACTCTCTAAATTTAAAAAAACGGTTTTTGATTTTTCTCTACTATATCCAAGAAAGAACGGTTTAATAAGAAAATCAAAAGTATGTCCATTGGATACTCAGATTAAGTAATCAGGATTAAGGATATCTCATTCTAAAGTTTTCAGCTCTGGTGTTTTTCATAATTTCTATTTATCTTGAAAACTTAAAGGTTCCCTCAAAAAAGTAGATTCTAACGACGACTTTGCAATATTCAGTGACTTGCGCATTTCTACTGCAAGTACCGTTGTGATTTGGGCAAGGAGGGTTATTTACTTGAAATTACCCTTACACTGTCAATATAGAAATTAAATATATAAACCTTTTGATTTGGCAAACAGAGAAACAGTCCACCACAAATATAAGAAAAAAGAACTGAACAAATTTCAAACAGTCGTCTCTAAAGTTTAAACCTAGGAAACCCTGCAAGTTTTCTGATTTAAAATCTCTTCCTTGGATTAATTTTCAATTTTAATCTGGTTTTTGTTGAAACAAACTGTAAACCTAGATCCCATGAGACAATATACACTGTCAAGCAAGGATTAGCGTTGTTATTAATATCCTTCCCCCCCCCACTCATCCTTTTCCACACCTTCCCCCCCACACTCATCCTTTTCCACACCTTCCCCCCCCCCCTCATCTTGTTTGTCTCCTTGCGAGCCCCTTTATTCTTTATTAACCCCTCCCCTTCTTTTTTTTAAATCTTCATGTTTTTATCTGTGCGCTAAAATTCTTTAAAAAAGTCCTCTTTCACAAAATAAAAAGATAGCAAAAAGTCCTAAATTCTCCGAGCCAATTGCATGACTTGCTGTTGTTTAGTTTCTTTACCTTTTATCTGTTACTCGCCCGTGTTTTGGGACTGTTATCCCGTCCTTGTTTTGGGACTGTTATCCCGTCCTTGTTTTGGGACTGTTATCCCGTCCGTGTTTTGGGACTGTTGTCCCCCGTCAAGAAACCAATTGTTAAATGTTATAAATGCTTATTAAAGGGACTGTAAGCGTAATTTCAAGTGACACCTTTATTTTAGGAGGGAAATGTCTGATTCACAGTTCCTTTAAAGATTTTATCTAATCAATATACTGTGGGTAATAACGTTGTATTTCTAGCTTGACATTCCTTAAAGGAAGTGACCGGCTATGTAAGGTAGCTGAACTGAGTATGCAGTGTTGTGGAAAACTTCTTTCGAATTCATTTGAGACATATTAAACTTTTTAAAGATCGGTAAATCCTGAGTTTGAGCGCAAATTCGACGTTCAAAACTCCTACTTTGGGGGTTTAATATGTCTCAAATGAATTCGAAAGGAGTTTTCCACAACATTGCATACTCAGTTCAACTACCTTACATAGCCGGTCACTCCCTATAAATATGGTCCGTGCAGCAGAAATGCGCATGCATGAATCTGACATGCCACTCTTATTTAAATGTAGAGTCACGTGAAACTAATGCTACAGTTCCTTTAAGCAAATTACTCGATGTTGAATATAAACAGCTAAGATGCAAAACCCCTGCTATTTACAGCAAAAAAATGTTCACTGGACTCGGGTCCAGAATTTTTTGTCAGAATACTTTAAATGTCAATTCTGATTTTTATTTTCAACATGTTTTAAGTTTGAAAATAATAGAATGAGAATTGAGATAATGTTTATTTGCTAATAATTGTGTTCAAGTATAAATTCATCCAGATGTTAATGTGATATTTATTATCCTAGTCCAATATATTATATATAATCAATGTCATTGCTTTCATAGGGAGAGAGAGAGGTGAGTGAGTGTGTGAGTGAGTGAGTGAGTGAGTGAGTGAGTGAGTGAGTGAGTGAGTGAGTGAGTGAGTGAGTGAGTGAGTGAGTGAGTAAGTGAGACCAAAAATTTATCAAAACCTGTTTTTTGGTATTCAACATTATTTGTAAAAAAATCTGTTCATCTGTACTGTATTTATTATAATATGCAACAGGGAAGGAGATGTAAATTTTGCAAATTTCTGCACGGAACAGAGAACTGCATTATTCTCTTTAAATTTGTTCTATATGTGTTTCTAACCATATATCCTGTATAATTCATTGAAAGGAAATGAGTTTTTGCAACAAAATCGTATTTTCTAATTTTTATATATCTTCTCAACCAAATGTCGTAGACCTTAGATATTTCAAACTATGCATTCTATTAGATCAAAAAGTCTAAGTTTGAAATATCAAAGGATTACGCTATTAGGTTGAAAAGAAATAGAGGTTTAAAAATTTGAGTTTGTGGAAAAGACTCAATTCCTTTGTCAACATTTAAAGATTTTAAACTGGCAAGATATATTCGTAAAGGACCCAAGAGAAGGTTTAAGGCTGAATTCTGTTTAAAATCTTAAGTTAAGCGAATTGACTTTTGAACAGAAAAATTATGATCCAGACAAAGCTGGGTTCCCAAGCTAATATTATATGTATAGAGACCTAATATCTTTGATGGCATAATAGTGTTCGGTGTGAAAACAAACACTGCAGATCCCTTCAGTCTTCATAATACAGGGTGTCCCAATGAACACGGGAATTCAGTGACAAATTCGATATTGTCTTTTTAAATAATTCTTTGATGTAGTACAGTGATACCTACTGAGAAAGATGTAATTTGCAAAAGTTTCGTCTGCTATGTTCACATTTTGTTTGTTTATGTTTTGACCGCATACGGTTGTACTTAGTAAAACAAGAAAATTGCAGTATACAAACAGAGTAAACTTGTCCGTATTCACTGTTCATCTTGCGGAGACATTATAGACACATCTTAACAGTCTTTTACCCTTTTCATAAAATAATTTCTAGCAGACATGATAATATTATGGCTTTTGAAATTAGGTATTACAACAAAGACGATATCCATTTCGTTACTGAATTCCCATGTTTGTTGGGATATCCTGTAAATGACATTTCTCCTAGCCCTCCCTCGAAATGATACTATAATGCTGCCCCCCTCTAGCTCTCTTATCAAAACTGAAACCTCCCCCCCCTCCCCCCATTCTAATTTTTCTTTACTGTTTATCTGATCATTTCTGTAGAAAATATTGTTGTTGTTTTTTTAGCGTAAAAAGTGTTGAATTTTGACAATTTCCGACTTTTGAATTGATAAGTATCTTATGCATTCTTTAAGGATACTGTTCTGAATTGGATTTACCATTCAGTAGTTGGAGATTCCCTTGAATTCACATCTATACAATTCCTTAACAGTTTCTGATTTATCATGTCTATGATGGTAGTTTTTATTTAGAATTTTACACTAATACTTAGGATTTATGTAAAAATGAAAAAAGTTCTCAGCACTTCTGATTCAAGCCATTCTTGTACATTTTAGTTGTCACTATCTCTGTATGATTTCGTTTATTTAAATATTTTTGCATGTTCCCAACATACAGAACTGGATAGATGGTCCCAACATACAGAACTGGATAGATAGTCCCAACATACAGAACTGGATAGATGGTCCCAAAATACAGAACTGGATAGATAGTCCCAACATACAGAACTGGATAGATGGTCCCAACATACATAACTGGATAGATGGTCCCAACATACATAACTGGATAGATAGTCCCAACATACAGAACTGGATAGATGGTCCCAACATACAGAACTGGATAGATGGTCCTAACATACAGAACTGGATAGATAGTCCCAACATACAGAACTGGATAGATGGTCCCAACATACAGAACTGGATAGATAGTCCCAACATACAGAACTGGATAGATAGTCCCAACATACAGAACTGGATAGATAGTCCCAACATACAGAACTGGATAGATAGTCCCAACATGCAGAACTGGTATATATAGTTCCAATATTTGTCATTCCTATATCGGAAAGAGAAGTGCGTTCCCAAGAGCCATCGTAAAAACGTCTCAAATGATTCCTAAAAAAAAATTCCACAATGCTACATTCTATATTTAACTACCAGACATTGCCGGTCACTCCCTTTAGTATCGTGACATCGCTGGGTGTTAACACCAACTTTTGAACCATCTTACAAACTGGGATTAAATAAGTCTAGTTTAAGTCAAATTTTTGCCACCAAACTTTAAAAGTGGTTCAAAAGTCATTGTTCCCAGAGGCAGAATTTAAATAATTTGAGCCGCGGCACAAATTTGGGACGCGGCTAAATTATGGTTGGTTCCACTTAATATTGTATTCAATGCTTTAAGACTTAAGCCGGCGCTCAATTAAAACCGTTTTTTGGGGGATTTTAGACGCGGCTCAAATTCATTAAATTCGGTCTCAGTTTTGCCACAACAATCGCGAAGTTTAACTCTCCTTTGAAAACTAAAACTCTACTTTGACTCGAGTCTCTGTTTGCTTGGGTTATAATAAAAATTAAGTAAAGTTATAAAATTCCTCGAATTTTCCTTCTATATTGTTAATCAAGGAGTATGGCATAGAAGGGAGATACAACTGACGCGGCCCGCCCTACCACATGATTATACATACATGCTTTGCAGACGGTACTTCATTTGTATAAAAAAATATGTGTCTGATGTACAATTACCGCGTATAAAATAACCTATTCTGAATATTTCTTATGCGTAAATGAAGTACCGTCTGCAAAGCATGCATATTTATCAATGGTAGGGCGGGCCGCGTCAGTTGTATCTCCCTTTTATTTCATACTCCTTGTTGCTAATCCATTATACATAGTTTTTTGAGTAATG